CAATTGAGCCTTGAACAGTCAGGCACCACCTCCACTCGCTGGGACCGCCGTGCCACAACCTAGAGCCTCTCCCCACAAGGGTGGATCATCGGCCCTAGGCCCCGGCTCAGCGTGCCCCTCGGACGGACGGACGGAGCGGGGGGAGGGGGGACAGCGAGACAGGCGAAACAGCTGAGACAAGAGTCTAAATAGACTAAGCCTGTCTCAAGCCTGTCTCATGTGTCTCGCGGCCGGTTTTGAAGGATTTTCTCTCTCTGGGGAGGGTGTTCCAGCACTCCACTCTGTAGTAGCTACGAGGCTAGTTTCAAGACATAGGCTAGAATTCGGTACTTGGAGGGCCTGTCGATTTTGAAGGCTGGCGGCCGTAGGACTCGCAATCTTAGGGGCTCTAAAGTGCTTGCAAAACGGGCGCGCGCGGCATCGGAGGCGCTTTGAGGACGCGAAGGGCGCTCGCGAGCTGTTTGGAGGCGCGCCGTCGTGCTCCGGAGCTGTTTGGGGAGCGACGCGCGCTTGCGCGCGCGAGTCTGTTCGGCGCGGAGGGCTTGGGGGCAGCTCTTCAGTGCTCGTCGGCTGCCGGGTTGCAGCTCTTTAGGTGCTCGTATGCTGCTGGGCTGCAGCTCGTAAGTCGCTCGTGTGCTGCTGGGTTGCAGCTCTTTAGGTGCTCGTATGCTGCTGGGCTGCAGCTCGTAAGTCGCTCGTGTGCTGCTGGGTTGCAGCTCTTTAGGTGCTCGTATGCTGCTGGGCTGCAGTTAGAAAACTGCCGGGTTGCAGCTCTTTAGGTGCTCGTATGCTGCTGGGCTGCAGCTCGTAGGTCGCTCGTATGCTGCTGGCGAGTGCTCGTCGGCTGCTGGCAAGGAGCTCGTAAGCTGCTGGGGAGTGCTCGTCGGCCGCTGGCAAGAGGCGCGCCCTTAAAGTTCCTCTAAAGCCCGTTTTGCAAAGACTTTAGAGCCCCTAAGATCGTCAGAGCTGCGGGCCGTAGGCCCGCGAATCGACAGTGCTCCAAAGTACCGAATTCTGACCCATGTCTTGAACTAAGGCTTGTAGCTATCACAGAGTGGAGTGCTGGAACACCCTCCCCAGAGAGAGGTGCAAGCTCCCACTTGCGCGGCTGCAACCGCCACTGCCGGTCTGCAGCACTTATTTTCGGGATGATTCAGATTTAGCTCTTGCCCTTGCGACGCATGCCAAATGGGCAGACTCTGGCTCTGTCTCTTTGACTTGGCCCTTGCAATACCCACTTCTGAGCAAGCTGGGCCATGTGTATTAAGGGACTTCTTTAAGGTGCTTTAGGGTTGACAAAGGGACTGAAGGGAGCTTAAGAGGGTTTAAGAGGGCTTAGAGCTTTGAAGGGACGAAAAAGGAGGCTCCCCTACAAGCCCCTTTAAAGCGTGTTTGAAGAGGCTTCCCCCTTCTTCTTATTATGTGTGTGTGTGTGTGTGTGTGTGATTGCGTAGGGGGCTTGTAATTGAAGGCTTAAAGGGGAGGCTTAAAGGGGAGCTCAAGGGGAGCTTAAAGCGGGGCTTAAAGGGTGTGGGAGCTTAAAGGGGGGCTTAAAGGGAGGCTTAAAGGAGCTTAAAGGGGGGCTTTAAAGGGCTTTAAGGGCTTAAAGGCTTCGACCTCCCGCTTAGGGACACCTTTTAAGGGAGCTTTAAAGCGGCTTTGAAGGGGAGCTTCAAGGGGAACTTAAGCTCTCCTTTGTCAAAAAGAGTGGGATCCATTCTATATTCCGCGTGTAGCTGACGGAGCACAAGGTCAGCGGCCCTGCGCTCCTGTAATCCAATGGCACGGAGTACCTGTTGGGTAGAAGTTGACGGCGGAGCTCCAAAGAGCACCGATATTGACTGTACAGAAGCCCAGAAGACTATCGGTGCAAGCAAGATGCTCCGGCAGCGTGGCCATGGCTGCAGCTCCAATCACACGGCAGCTAGTGGACACACGTCCGTAGCCGAATGGCCAGAGCAGAGCAGAAGGATGAGTCTAACAGCAGCGACCGAACAGCCGGCCATGTGTCCGTCACTCTGGGCGTTTCACCCCCATAATGCCAGGCGGACGTGCGGAGCACGCCGCTCCCAATACCGCACGGCAAGCTTCCAGAGAACCCTGCGAAAGTATGCAATGTGTGTTATTAAGGGTGTATAAGAACGTCCACTCGCCCGCATCCTGGCGCTTTTTCAGTTGCTGTCGGTTGTAGAAGCAGGTATGCGATTCCTTATGGTAGTTGGAAGCCCAAGAACTAATATCCTAGACCGCCCGCAAGTCCTCCCAGGGCTACGAACTGCCTAGCAGCCGCAACCCAGTCATCAATACAGAGATTCTGGCCAAGGGTGTGTGGCGGACAGTCCAGCTTCCACATCATGGGCACATCGGCGAAGTTTCGTCTAATGATCTCCGCATGTCGGCCAGTCACGGTATGACTTTCCAGTGAGTAAAAGCGTTCGGGGTAGTACATAGTGATCCGTTTGGGTCCAGGTAGCCAAACCGCCAGAGCTGTGCGCAGGTCGTAGCCATCCTGTTGTCTGTCGGACTCTAGCCAATGCACTGGACAGCAGGCCGGCAGGTTGCAGACTGCAATTGTAGCGGACAGTCACCCGCCGAAAATGTGGCCGCGAGACGAACTCCAAGCTGACCCTGACGGCCTTCCTCCGCGGCTTGCTCGTCGTTGTCCACGAGAGCAGCATCGCAGCCGCATGGCTCTGTCCGAAACTACAAATGGCAAAGCCGAACTGACGTTTACTCCAAGCAACCCTGCGGTCAAAGACATGGGGAGTGACAGGAGCGTGTCGCAATCCACCTGTAAGGCACTGTAAGGGCAGTGGGCACAGTGCACAATTAGGAGGCTGTATGCTTCCGCTTTGGGTGATTGTGTATGTGGACAGCTGCAACGGCAGCTTCTTAAACCACTGTTACAAGCCTTTATTGGCTTCGCTTTGGGTGATACAACCTGTCCTGGCATGTGAGAAGAGGAAGCTCCTTTTGCAGTGCGCTTCGCATGTGGTTAACAACATTGCTGCAGTGGTTGATGGTTTTAGAAAGACAACTGACATTTGGGAACGTCAGCTGTGATGACAAGATGATATTCACATCGAATGGGGTGTGGCTTAGTACCCGTGTGAGGGATCACATGGAGAAGAGCTATTGTTCCTGCGAAGTGGGTTGTCTTGCCAAGTGCCCAAATCCAATCCAAGCTGTGCAGCTTGGGGGGGCGGGCCCATGGAGGTTCGGGTGGCACTTTTCCCTGCTTGGATTGAGGCCCCGATGACGAAAACGCTTGAGTGCCCTTTACCGCCTTTTACTGCTCTTTACTGCAAGTACATAAGTGAGATAAGTGAGTGTCTAAGTGAGCCATGGCCTTGGTCTATCGGGATTTTTACTGAGCTCTATATCTTGCGCAGGAGAAACGAAATGGCTTACGAGGCATCTCCGTAAGCTCAACCCGAGACACGTGGAGCTGCTGGTGCAGAATGGCCGGACGTTTCAAGGGCCGCCTTCCGTGACATCTTACCTCAAACCCTGGTGTGCCTAAGTCGGGGCCCAGCCCAATCCCTTTGTCGCTCAGGGTGCCCACGCTCTATGCGACTAGGGCGGTCATGCCTAACGGCAAACGCGGTGGAGCAGGATTGTGGTGAAGAAACTTGTTCGACAAAGCGAGAGCCGCCTCCACGTCATGCTCTCTCACAGGGCCGTCCACTGGACGCAAGGGTGAAGTCACATTCGAACAAAACCAAGGGTCCCTCCTCCTCCCCTTGCCGATTTCGTGTCCCACCACGCCTCCCTGTCTTTCTCTCGTCGATTTTCGGCTCTAACCCCCTCTTGGAACCCCAACCCCTTTACTTTCTCTTGCCGACTTGTTGGCATTTTCGGCACTTCGAGTGTAAGATGTGCTATAGAAATCAATATAAATGTTTTTTCAATAACTACTCACTCCTCACGCATGCACGAAACATCGGGCACTTCGAGTGTAGACTGTGTTGTATCAACAAAAACAGCATGTCGGTCTTCGCGCGCGGTTAGGTCCAGGAAGAGGAAAAGGAAGAGTTGGCAAAGGTCGAGAATGGCAAAAGCAGTACAAAGGGTCTAGCGCCACACGCCGTTCATGCTGTCTTTTACAGCGCATCTAGGATCAATGCCGGTGGGGCCGAGGTTTTCGACGACGTGCCTTTGTGTTTTACGGCCCACGGCACGCCGTGCTTGTCGTTGTCGCTATTAATTTTTACGGTACATGCGGGCGACGACCTCAGCGCGTGGAGACCCCGACGTGCTATTTCTTTTGATTTTTAAGGCACATCACGCGCTCGGACGGGACGTGGAAAATCCCACGCGGCGAGATGCCAGCTGTCCACATTGAAGTGGCCACATGCGGGTGTTGCAGCTTGTGGTGCTGGAGAAGTTTTCGGCTATTCCTGGAATTTTCACAAGACATCCACGTTTTTCAGTCTGGGAGAGCGATCTGGGACCACGTTTACAGCTACGAGAACAGTTTTCGCAGGAGTGAGATGCAGTGAGCTGTGTCTTGAGGTTGCCTCAGTTCTCAGAAGTTCTCGAAGGCCTTTCGGCCGTTCTCGAACGTCAGATGCAGCTGGAGTGGTTGTGACGTTGTTTTGAACAGTTGCGAACCTCATGTGCATGATTATTGTCAACCGCATGTTTCTGGAGCAAGTTTTGTTTTAGACGTGTGCTATAGTAGCACGCTTAGCGCGCGTGAATCTGAGAAGCCGCGCGATATGTGTGGCTCAAGTCCGCGCAGCTGGAAGTTAAAGCTCCGCTATGGGTCTGTGATGAAATAACACGTCTGAGGCCCATGTCAAGAACAGCTGAACTCCTTTGTGCGAGCGAGCGAGAAAGCAGACCTTGCTGCGGGTGTGTTTGGTTCCTGTTGGTTTGGGTTTGTAAGTTTTACAGAAGCTTGCTGGGTGTACCTCTTTCTCCTTGATGCGCCCTACACCAACTGGACCTACCGATTTCCTGTACATCGCTCCCGTGGGCATCCTTCTCATGCTCTCATGCAGAGTTTGAGGGACTCGTCTGCACAAACGATCGCTTTGGTCACCGATTGCAACATTCAGGTTCCAGCAAATTTTGTTGACAAGATCTCCAAACGGATCGATGCGGAGAGGAACCCACAGATTCATCAAGGACGTCAAGCACCACGGCATCTTGCACCTTCCGACCACATGGCTGCAGGACAGACACCAATCATGGACGCGAGCCTCACACAGGAAGAACGTGATCGTGTGACGCACCCAGCCGCTTCCAATCAGGCACAGGAAGCAATCGTCGGGTCTCATGGAACGCCAACACCTACCATGACCACAAAGGTCAAAGGCAAAACCAAGAACCCAGAAGATAACCTTCGATGGGAAAGACAACTTGTGAAGGCTGTCCGTATTGCGGTCGTGCAGCTCTGGGAGGTCGCCAGAGATGGTCCCGCTTTCCACGGCAGAGTGCAACATCGCGGTGATTCTGCTTGCACGAGCTTTTCGCACGGGGGAGGCCTCCCGTCTGTGGTGTACTCTCACGTTGGCGTGCCGAAACGCAGAGGCGACCCCACGGATGCGCCAACTGGTTATGCTTGGGAACCGCCGTTTGAACGGGAGATGTTCCCCACAGTGGAGCCCAGTGAATTTCCTGCAAATATCCGACTGGCATACATTCAATGGACCAATGGCCAAGGGGGCCTGACGGTTGTGTCTTTCGGCCCTTGGGAGCGGAAGCCGGTGTCCAAAATCGCGGCAGCTGGATCGAGGGATCGGCGTATCGTGGACTATGTCACTATGTGCTGCCTGGACCCCATCGATCCTTCGGATGCCCGCCGCTGCCTGCGTGAAATGTGTCGAGTTGGGTGGCTTCGTCTGGATCTGCCTGAGTCGACTTAATCGGCTGTCAAGAAGCGACGCTTCAACTGAGACAATGGAAGGAGCCCCTTGCGTTCTGCTCGGCCGTGTACCCGTTTGCAACAGCTCCTAGGCTCTTTCCTATAACTGCTCCCACCGTTGGAGGTTCTTTTGTCACGTGCAGACCTCCTCTGCCTTGCCTGGGTGGGATCTGGTTCATGCAGTTCTGCCATCATGGTGAGTTCTGACGCTAACATTGGCGCATGTGCTCTGTAGGTATTGCGCTCTATGCCATGCGTGATGGAGAGCACACCGACTTGGACATGTTGGATGGAGTAGGAACCGTTGCTGCACACCTCTTATGTGGCCTTACGCTTTCCATGCATTACGGAGAGCTGGCCAAGTTGGACATGCTGCATGCGGCCATTGCGCTCTCACTCCCGGGAAGCAATAAAGTATTCACGCCACCATGAAGATCCGTTGGTGGCCCAATGCCATCTCCACTCTGATGCCCTTGGGGATCTTGATCTAGTGCGTCTATCCATGATGGCAGGACCATCTGAGAGAGGCTGTATTAAGGTTTATTGCATTTGTGCAAGACCAGTGCGGGAACCGTAGCTGAACGACTTCTGCCGGCAAAGCCTGCACGTCGCAGCTTGTTTCACTGTTTTTGGGTTCTCTTCGCTTGCTTAGCTTCTTGTAGGGGCCGAGAGCTGCTGACGCAGTCGACGAGGCCCGCCCACGCCAAAAACATTGTCCGTATTGCGGTCGTCTTCGTGACACTGGCTCCTGCAAGTGATCTTCACTCGTGACCGTTTTCTTCGGTGTCTTTCTGAGCCTGCAATGTCATTTCAGGGGATCGTTACTGACGTAGAGAAGTGTGACAACATGTCTAATTGGGTGCGAACGGGCTTCGATGCCTAGTCGCCTAGTCCAAAATTCGTAGGTGTCGCTGTAGGAGCTATGAGCACAATGTCGTGGATTGCCGTGTACATAGAGCAAGGCACCGTCTTGCGGACCTCGTCTCAACTTGCTTGTGCATGGAACCGCTTGTCGGGCCATGCTACAGTTCCAATCTTGTTGCTCCGCATCCAAAGCAAGTTTGGCTCAAGATTATGCCACAGGCACAACACCTATTGCCGTACTAGCAATAGCTAGTCAGCTAGTAGCCTGTGAACGACCTAGAGGATTCGAGCCATTTCCCGTGCACAGACAACTCGTCGCGCTTCCTGGCGAGAAAACAGTCGGTCCGAGTTTTCCTGCAGGGATAGTGACCAAAGAGTTTGTGGGGCCACTGTACGTTTCCAAGGGCAACCAGTACAACCACAATACGCTCGGTGAAGTGAGCACGCATGTACGACATCATCGATGCCAGACCTTCGCGCAAGGAGCTTTGCAAACATTGCATCATCACCATCCCCTTAAGCCTTAAGCGTTGAAATGGGGACGTGGGGGAGGGGTCCTGAAATATTGCAGCGTCGACTTTGGCCTGAACCTTGGACGTAGGTGTTGCCGAAATAACTTCAGGATAACCGGGCAGACAAGCAGTTGAGCCATTGCAAGAATCTCGTTCGAGGAAGCTGGCTCAAAAGGCTCAAAATGGCTCAAATGTGCATTTTCTTTGACATGTACAGGTGTACATTAAAAAGACATGGTGAGGCATGGCATAAAAGCTCACACAGCAGTATCTGGGTCAAGAAAATTCGAGAGAGCCTGTGAATATGGCTCCGAAACCTCGCTGTACACCTTGTGTGAGAACTTTCGGCTGGAGCCATCGAATCCTTTTTCTGGAAGTACCTCAGGGGAATGGGTTGTGGTTCGTTCCCCTCGCTAAAAAAAAAGCAAAGTGGGAAGCTCTAGGCCTTCCACTTTGCAGTCCCTTAACGAGGGGAACGAACCACAACCCATTCCCCCTGAGGTACTTCCAGAAAAAGTTCGATGGCTCCAGCCGAGAGTTCTCACACAGGGTGCACAGTAAGTTTTCCAGCATTGCGCCGGGCCCGCGCCTAGAACGACATAAATTCTTGAAGTTTCTGGGCAAAGTCAATGTGGAAGCACCTCCCGACCTTCCACAGTGAGATATGTTCACGGCCACTCACAAGGCTTTAAACCTGGACAGCTTGTATCAGCAATCCGACACCCACGTCATTGAAATTTCAACTGACTTCCTGACACCTAAAGCCTAAGGTCCAAACTATTTCAGCCCAAACCTGAAATTAACTAAGGCTGTTTAGGGGCGTGGTGGGGGTCCCCCCTCATGTCGGAAGAACGTGGTGATACTGCATCCACTAATATTCACTTACAGAAGATTGGATGTTTTGGAATGTTATTTTGCAGAAGGCAACCGAATACTCATCTGTCAACCAACTTGTGCAACCGTTCTGTTGAGAGCCGGTTCCAACCGGAACCAAATGTGGAACACCTGTTTGTTGGGGAAGTTGTAGATGATTATTATTTTCTCAATTCTTCAGAGAATCTTCAAGCTGAGTCCTAAAACGAGTGATGAAATGCAGATGCCCACACTTGAACAAGAGGCTCTTCAGGGTGTGTTGATTTGGTTATGGGACGCTGGAACCACGTACCTGCAAAGCTTCACTTGCCGATATATGAAACTGTCCATCCTTAAGATCCAAGTATAAGTTGTATTGCACTTAAGAAGTTTTACATCCTGCTACGTGAATGCAAAGGTTTCCTCAGGTTGAACAATTAATCAGTTAGAAAATAATCATGGCGACGACACAAGAGACTACAAGTCAAAATCAAAGACAGGGAAAATGTCAATTGGCTCGACTGGAAATTTGCATGTGCGTGTGTGTGCGGTCATGTCCATTTTGCAGTACCACGCAGGTGGCTAGCCCATCCAGAAATTCCCTCGCAGCCGATGTTCATTCTCGCAGTATGGCAGCAGCAATTGAAAAGATGAAGGAGACCGTAAAAAACTTACAAGGCAGATTTCATTGCTCATGACGTGCAGAAGGAACAGAATCAGCAGAATATATATTTTGCAGCATGCAAAAGACTATTCTTCACACATGAGCCATTACGAGTATCTCCGAGAATTTGAGAAGATTGCGGATGTAGTACGTATGTTCAATAATAGTAGCAGCACGCTCACCTTGCAAGTGTTTGGATATGCAAAAGGTAGCTCACTGTCTTCGCAGATTGAAGCCTTAACTGATCGAATGGCCGAGCATGGTCCAGCTTTCATCATTGTTCGGGCTCCTTTGCATCACCTGTGCAGGACTGGGTGAAGTCTGCCATATCGTGCTGTTATGTTTCAGGAACCGCTTTTCAAGCGTTGTGCACAGGATGTGCCAAAAATCGACGATGTCAATGGAAGGTCAGTCGGGCTGATTTGTGACGTGAGTTGGAGTATTGCGCACCTTCTCGAGGACATTCGTTACGACATCAGCGAGTGCCACACGGGCAAGTCAGGAGGCGGCCTTATCCGGGAGGCTTTCGCCTACGTGGAGCCAGGCGTCGGGGCTTCGGAGAGGAAGTTGTGAGGCATTGGTCACGGTCTCGTGGTTGTCCATGCGCTTGTTCATGCATCTGTTTGGATGTGCTTGCCACGGATGGCATCTTGCATCGCATGAAGTGTGCTGGTGCTGTGTGCATTCATGCCGCGAGCTTAATGTAGTCAGCTTTGATGAAATTTGCGGCTGAAGCTTGGTTGACATTTCGAGACAGAAAGCCGAGCAGGGTGTGTAAAATTACGCAAAGACAAGGCAGTAGGTTGGGTGAGTTCGTGTTGCGGTCCTGGCAGGCATTTGCAATGCCAGCTTATCGAACAGCATTCTTCCGCGACCGAAAGTCGACCTCCCTTGCGATGAGCCATGTGATGAAGATCACTACCTCAAGGTGCAACAGCTTCAGGTAGAGATCCTTTACATGGCTGCGTTGTTGCACAGCGGTGAGATGTCTGGAACATATCTGCCAAACCGTATCCTCATGATAACTGATCCGAGGTGACAGCTGTCTACAAACAAGGAAACTAGCCTGCAACAGTCTTGGCATGTGACTGACTTGTCTTCATGTCGAAACGAGTCGAAGCTGTGATATTGGAATGCCATCAAGTTTCGGCACACCGATGTGACAGTTGACGCTGCTGTCAGACCACCCGACAGGAAGGGTGGAACAACAACAACGGAGCAACCGCAGACTACATGGACGGCTTGCATGAGTTGTTTGTCACATGCAGTGTTGTGTGGCAGGTAAGGGTTCGTGGCGACGATCAGGGTGGGTGGGTGTGGGGTGGTACGGGGCCAGGAACCGCAGTAGTAGGAACAAGCGAGTGGCCATTAAAGAATTTGGAGTTCACAATACTGTGCATGATTCCGAAGTGAAATATAGCTGCAAGCCATGTACTTGTCTGTTTACTTTATATATATATATATATATACACATGCACTTGCGCTGCTCCATTTTGTCGCACGTGATGTCAAATATTTCAACATCTTTGCACATTGCTGTGGACTCGTACGTCTCAGTGTCTGGCTTCAGTGTTTGTTTGTATCCTTATTGCGCCTAGATATATATGTATATGTGTGTTACATACATACATACATACATACATACATACATACATACATTTGTTCATTCTACACAGACGAGACACGTGTAGGATGTTATGTGCGATTATCTGCGAGTACGGACTTTCCAGCCAAGTTCTGTTTCAGCTGTTTACTGCAGATGCCCAGGAAAGCTGCGTGCAGCTCACGGGGAGTTGGATGTTATCTGCACCCGCTGTCCGAGAGGGCGCTTCTCTCTGGGCGGTGGTCGTTGGGCCCTCAGATGAGATGCAGAAGGAGACCTAGACAAGACAGGACCGCAGTGACCAGCGATGTACGTGCAACTTCGCAATGTGGCCAAGGCTATGTCGATGGCTCGAAGGGTGACTGGGCCAGGCCGTGCTGGTGACACGCGGGCACACTGACACACAAGTTCAGTGAGACCATCGACACGCTTCGATGCTGACGCAGGTCTTGGCCGGAAGGGATTTCGACGTCGTGCCTTTACCGCGAAGCCGATTCCCGTGCGGGACCTTAGCCCAAACTTCTTGTCCTTCCAAGCTGGTAGATCTCCTGTGCTGCGGTGCTGGTGCCGCAGAGGCTGGACAGTGGGAGGAGGAGCTCGGTTGGCTTGTGTGCGGATCTCAGCTCCACGGAGGTCCAAGGCCAAGGGCGATGCACGAATGCACGAAACTCGAAACAGGTTTTACACCTGGAACATGATGGCCAAGCCGAAGCTCTGTCGGCAGAGACCAGGTGTGGCCATTACTGTCAGTTGCCGTGGCCGTTGCAAATGTCAGAACTTGGAGTCGATCTGAGCTTGTCAGGTCTGGCACCTGGAACCGCAACTTGCCCGACGTTACCTTGGAGGTGTGGCTGCACGGAGAGCTCTCACCATTGCTTTTGGGGTTTGGTACTGGAGACATGGAGCACCTGGGAAGGTGCCCTTTCGCATCATCGACGGATTGGCCTGTGACTCACTGAGCCGGGGGACTCAATTCGCGCCGGTAGCACGACTTCAGGACAGATCAGTGCGGCTGCTGGTAAGGATAGAGGGGGGTTGGGGGCTAGCTGCAACTCGTTATTCGTTTCGACGTTGATGGCCGGTGCAATAGCAGGTAGCTAGGATCGCCCAGTTGGAAGACAAGTCTTTTCTGTGCTTGTATGCAAGGTGGGGACAGCTCGCTCATCGGTGCCGCAGTTCTGGTTCTACGAGGCCAGGGTCCAACACGACGCTCGATGCGTCTTCGAGCACGAGCCTGCCATGGAGTGGAGCCTTCTGTTTGGGCCTGCAATGTGTCGCTTAGATTGGCACTTGCCACCTGAAGGTCATTCTTCGCTGAACACCATCTGAGTTAAAAGTCTTTGCCCCTCGAATTGCGCACAGACAGAAGACCTTTGTCGCAGGCACGTGCCCGTTCTCCACCAAAACGCAGCATCTGGAAGCAGCTGGCGCCAAGGTTGGACCTTAACGACAGCTGTTGATCGTGCATTGCTACATTCTCTACTGCGCAGTTCGTGAGACGTGTCCATTCCACACTGCACTTTTAGCCCCAGGCTGTGATCGTGTACAACAACCTCTACAACAGGCCCAGCTTTGTCTGATGTGATTCCCATCCTCGAACTGATCCATCACTCAGGCCGCACTTTATCCCAGCAGCTGCACCAAACAGCGGGTGACTTGAACCCTTAATCACTCGTTCTGCTGTCTCCTTGTTTTGCTACGAGGCACTGCTGCGACAATCCCGATCTTCATGGTCACCAGGGAGGATGGCTGCTTCCTCAGATGATAACTGACAGAGGAAGACGTCTTTGCACGGGCCAACTTCAATGTTGAAGGTGAGCGGATGGTGACCGCAGCGGAAGATGCCGCTTTAGAGGGCGAGTCGTGGCTTTGCTTGAACTGAAAGCAGCTCTGTAGCCGAGTCATGATTGCACAGGAAGCGTGGTTGCCAAACCTCTTCCCAGACTTGGACAAACAGCAGACCTGCATCTGAGGCTGCAGTTGCGAATACCGAGTACTCGGTGCAGCGTTGACAGGACCGGGACCTGTGTCTAGCACAGTCTTTGGGTGAAGTCTCCCCACCTGCCAGGCGGGAGGCTGCGCCGACAACGAATCACAGCGGCCGGGATTCGAGAGCAGCAAGAGGGGGGGCCCGTCGCAGTGTGCAGGTGTGCGTGCTGAGGTCAGAGCTCCGGAAGTTCGGACTCCTGGGAGGCTTCCGAGAAAGGCTGGGGCCAAGCGTTGCAGCCTCTGCAATGAGAGGTGCTGATTTGCTCTTGATGCAGGTTGTGCGCTTTGGGCCGCTGACCCTGCGGGCAGCTTCCTGTACTCTGGGGACAACCGGCGCTTCCACTGGGTGTTCTCGTACCTCACGCACCTCAGATGTTTGTCCACTTTGACCTAGGAGGGTCGCAGAGGGACGCGTAAAGACAAGGAGGGACGCAGAGACTATCCGACCACCATCGGACACTCTTGCGGTTGGCAGAGTCAAGGTATTCAGTGCGCTTTGTCCGCGACGGCTACATTCGCTTCCGCTATGCTGTCGATGCAGAAGCGATGCTTGTCTTGAATTAGGTTGAAAGAACTGGCGATGGTTGTCTCGACTTCCGCTTGTCTCGAGTTGATATCAGGGGCTATGATGGCCTCATCTTCGAGATGGACGGAGAACCCGCCGGATCCCTCGGGCATGGCTTGTGGATTCCAGTACGGAAGGTAACAAACACCCTAGGTTTGGAATGGATCCGTCCGTTCTCAAGTGGCTCCTTGGCAAGATGTGCGATATCCTGTACCTCGTGGCTCCCGCAGTTTTGCGTGGGTCTACAAGAAGGAGCCAGGGGATGTTGTCCTCCATGTCTCCTTCAAGCTGCGTGCCGTGCTGCAGGATTTCGGAACATCATCCGGGGAAGATCGCGCACGGCTGCAGTTGCTGGAAGTATCAGGCGGCCCTGCAGACTTGGCATGTTCACCAACAGGATTCGGCATTTGTTGCCGTGGACCTGCCTCTGTCCACTGTTTCGAGGTACGTCCCATGCCGATTTTTCATGTCGCAGCTGCTCGGTGCCTCGACTGCACGGTTCCTGTCGGAAGGCATTGTTCCTGGAGCAGTCCGCTGCCCTCCAGGTGCTTAGCAGTCCCGGGAGCCAGCGCTGTCAGACTTGTGGCCGCGACGAGCGCCCCGGTCCAAACAGGAGATTGGAGACTCAAGTGGTAGTCCAGCAGGTTGCTGTCGCGAAACCATGCTGAGGTATGCAGAGGTGTGGGGCTCGGGAAGCCGGAGTGCCAGCAGAGATAGCGGCTGCTGCACAGAGCAGAGTTTGTCGCGGTGTTGTTCTAGTCAGGTGCAATTGGAGCGCATTAGCTGTCGAAAGTGCCCGCCGGGTTCATGGGCCCCGGCTGGCAGCGTTGGCAGAGACTCCTGCCAGGCAGCAGCAGTGCCTGTAAAAGCGTGACTGCGAATGTCGTAGTGTTGCTTCATCGAATCGCATTTGTGGCCCTTCGTTGATTCTGTAATCGTGTTAAGAGTTGCTCAGCAGTGATTGCCGCTAAAAGCATCGACTGTTGGCATGGCCAGTGAGGTTTTGATATCGGTCGTTGTTGATAGGTCCGGCGGACTTGCACAGTGCAAGATGTACAGAACCTCGGCTTATTCTGGGAGTGGCTGCAAGTTGTCACAGTGGTTTCATGGGCAACGCACCAAATGCGACTGTTGACTGCGAGTGAGCAGTGACCGACCTAGGATCGTCTACCGTGCGTGGAATGGTACTGCAGAGCCGTCAGACTCCATTTTTTGCCGTGGACTCTCGGCACAGATGCACTTTCTTGTCCTCCACACCTAAGCTTGCAAAGCTGCACCGACGCCAATCTTCAAACAGGATGGATTATTTCTCCGGCTAGGAGTTTGCAAGAGGCTCCCCGATCAAATTTCAAAAGCAAACCCAGGGTTAGAGGCAAACACATTCCAAGTCAACACCGCAGTTGTTGAAGCACCCAGAAAACCCTAATCATGTTTGCTGCTGGAAAAGGCGGCTGCAAATCAGCATGGTTTTTCAATAAGCTCGAGTCGAATGTAATCAAGATGTTTGCGAACGAATCCGACAAGACGGGTCCTTGGCATGCGGGAATGATGTTGAGGTCATTGCAACGGAGAGCAGCGGCTCTACCGATTCTTCAGAACCAGATTTTCGGGGCTAACACCTGGAAGTGTTGCTTTGATGGACGGTTGGGTTTCTCACAGCGAGTTTGGCAAATTACTTTTCACTTCGTGTAATGCCAGGATCCCTCCAAAACAGTTTTGTAAGAGGCGGGTGTATTTTGGGAATCCTGGTGGAAGGAAGGGGCAAGGACAGGTGATGGCCTCGGACGCAGAGCGTGAAGCTTCCTGACTCTGAGGTAACAAGACTATGGTGCATGCTCTCTGGCGGCAGCCCAAAACTTGCCAGACCACGTCTACAGCAGACGAATTGGCTGGCATAACAGCCAACAACAGGATCCTCGCCTGACCTTGTGTGAACTCGTTTTGAGAAGATGTCTGAAGCAGTTTCAATCATTGAAGATGGATGCGGTCCAGGGTCCGTGGCTGCCCGGCCTGCCAGCCGTTTCAATGGCGGCCCCGCGGTGGCAGTTGCGTCACTCGGCTTTTCTATTGAAATATTGCTTTGGTCTGATATTGTGCTTAGAAACAGTGAACAGAAAGATACAGTCAGAAATATGCCTGCCAGATGACAAGCAGAACAGCCACACACACATAAGCAAGCAGGTGAATGTAGACCGACCGTACACGTAGATGTTCTTCACCTTTCCATAACATGGCAGGACAGCGCATTGTTGCCGCCGAGGATGGTCTAACGCTGCAAAGTGATGAACCAACAAACAGGCTTCAAGACCTGGAGCGAAACTTGTGGCAGCTTGACCTAGTGACCTAGTGTGGCCCTTGACGAGACGACAAACTGTAAAGCTAACAATGCTGATACGGCTCTTAATTTATAGATTCTAAACGCTTCGTGTCGCCCGCCTCGGCCCGGAAAGGCATGGCCGAAGAGGTGTTGGGGGGAGGAGGGGGTGGGAGGGGAAACAAGGGGTTGCTTGCTATGCTCTGACCGCTTCGGCCGGGGCCGAGACGAATTTTTCCAATAGTGATTCAATCGTGTATCATCGTCCTGCTGTTGACGTCACTGATAGTGCCGTTGTTTTTCTTCGGCTGTCATAGGCATTACCATAACGTTATGCTTCAGATCATGACCAAATTTTGGCTATCCGCTTGTCTTCTGGTTTCCGTTGTCCGTGGCTTGTGCTGATGCTGCTGTTGCTGGCGGTTGCGGTTTATGTTTATGCTTATGGTCATATATATTTTTGTTGTTATTGTTGTTGTTGTTGTTGTCGTGGTGGTCGTGGTGCTGCTGCTGCTGGTGCTGGTGTTGGCGTTGGTGTTGGTGGTGGTTGTGGTGGTGAGGTGGGGCTGAAAAGGCCTACCTCCCGATGGTGAAGCAGTGGCAGGTGGCAGATTGATGGATCACTTTCTCAGCAACTGAAACCCCACTCAGACTGGATGAAGAGATGCACCAGTGTATTGGGCTGGAAGATCCAGCAGTCTTACGCCGGCGCATTGACCAGCAGCATATTGGTACTTTGCACTTTCTGGGTGTTTGTCTGTCAGAGAGTCATTTGAGGGTAGGCAGGCGGGCCTTCTGTGACAGTATAACTTGAGACAGTCAGTGTTCTGATAAGCGAACCCGCCCAGGGCCATCGTGATTATGCTGTGCTCAGTGCTAGCTGCTAGCTTAGGAGAACCGTCCTGCACGAGCTTGCCCAGCGCCAAAGTTTGCGCTGCCAATTCTGCTCCTTCCCTGAAAAGAGCCATTAGAGGTGTTGTGTTGATTCTGTCCAAATTCCACCCAACTCTAACTTCGAGTTCTTGGGACCGCTGCGGGTTGCAGTGCGGAGGAGAGGCTGCTGCGGCAACCAAGGAAAGTGAACCGATGGGAGGTGTTCCCAGCAAACTTTACATCTTGGATATGGGGTCGCATTCTCGGAATGTGGGGGTGAACTGTGGCAAGCCGCGGGTGCCCTGGGCTCTGAGCATTGTCAGGTCGTCCATCCGTCGAGGACCAATCGCACTCCTGGCAGCTCGCCCCTGCAGCCTGCATGCAATGTCGGCCGTTTAGCACTTCGGGTCCGTGAGGGTTAAGGGATGTATCGGGTTTTGTAGCCACTTGCTGGAGGACGGCTCAGCCGTGGAGGTTGGAACGGCCTTCCTTGGAGGCGGCGGCGCAGAAGCGGAGGTGCACAACTGAGCCCTACAGCCAAAAGTTAGATGTTCAACGCATGAATCGTCCAAGGCGCTTCTGTCAGCCAGGGCAGATCAAGCCATTCTCGGGCTCGATGCCCCGTGGCTGAGCAGAGTCATGCTAAGAGAGGCCATCCTGCTGTCATGTCGCTGCATCACCTCCTCGCACGCTGCTTTGGCCTGCTGCTCGGGCAGTCGCCATGAGATCGCACTCGATCTCAGGTGTCCTTGGCCAGCCCCGGTGCGCTGAAATTTACGTTGGAGGAGAAGCCCGCTGGAGCTTGGTCCTCAGCAGGAGCCCTTTATGTCGACCACGAACCTCGAGAGCCTCAAGAAGTTGCTTGGACAAACACGGAAGCTCTGTTGTTTTCTTGCTGCTTTGGTCTGCACTGTTCATACAATACCTCGAGATCGGCAACCATGGCAGCCGCTTTGTGCCAGTGTGCATGCCAGCGCCCGCGAGCCAGTCACGACAACAGACTCTGTAAAGATGACTTGTGTACAAGTCAGCAGACTCCAACGAAGTACGAACCCCTTTTCTTCGCGTTCCTCCTGCAAGAGCCTCAGGTTTCTGTCGCGGGAGGACGGCTGCAGTTCAAGTTGCGAAGCTCAGCAGCATGAGCCGCACGGGACAGTAGCTGCAGGTAGCGGCCAAGCCTGTCCCACCTGTCACAGAGTCACAGGCATGGAACCTGGATGGCACTGGGTGACGTGGGTGTGGCGCTACACTGGTCCAAAGCTGGAGGAAGCTCGCTCTCTCTCTCTGTCTCTGTCGCTCTCTCTCTCTCTTTCTCTTTCTCTCGTTCGTGCATCAGCAGCGGTCCGGTCCTGCAACCCTGACTCGCCGGCAGGAGCAGGCGGCCGATGCCAGCCTGCAGCAGGAGGGAAGTGGCCTCCGGCTGCTGGAAGTCTCCGTGACCAATGCCTTAGGCCATGGCCATGACATTATCCAATAGGGCCACTAGGGGTTAAGACGACCGTGCTCTGGACACAAAGCTACATGTTAGATTAAAAAAAAGAAGCTATGGGAAAGCTAAATACAAGCTAGCCGAGGGTGGTTTCGGTGCTGGATCCACAAGAGTTCAATGGCGCTGGGAAGTAGCCAGAAAATCTCCAGAATGGCGCTGAAAACCAGACAGAAAAACTCCAGCATGGCGCTGACAAAGCAGCCATATCTGAATCTTCGTAACTTATGAATATGTTGGGCCCGGTCCTGGCACTCCCAAGAATAACAAATCAACATATCCTTTTTTCCTATTCGAGAGGTAGCGCTCGCGATTCTTTTGGCGATTTTCGCATCTCCTTTAGTGGGGTAGCCCTCCGGCGGTAGCGCTCGCGAATTTTTTTCCAGCGACGTTTGTTTCGTTCAGTGGGGTAGCCCCCCAGCGGTAGCGCGCGTGAGTTTTTTCTGGCGAGTTCTCTCGTTTAGTGGGGTAGCCCTGCAGGGGTCATTGTGGAAAGCGATCAAAGCCAGAAAAAAGCAAAACAGGAGCTAATCTAAAAGGTATCAAAAACCTACCCCAAAAGTGACCAAAAAGCTAACTGGAGTCCTCGGTACAAGATCTGAGTAAAAGATGGCTTGTGAAATACTGAGATAGAGAATACGGATGGCACCGCATCACGGTTGGGAAAACACGGTCTGCTTGGGAGGGTTGAGGGCACAGCCGTGCGGGTTGCCACTGGGTTGCTGGGTCACTCTTGCACAACCCTGTATTTTGGGCTTGTGGCTGCCTTGCTCAGATCATTGTGTTTCCTTTTTGATAGCTTCTGTGTGTAGCTTTTGCTGGCTTGCTTTTTGCTAGTTTTTTTTTTAGCTTTTCGCCACGCCGACTCCTGCGACAGTGGAGCCGATAAAAAGCTAGAACAACGGTAAAAAAAACCAATGTTTGAGGCGAGGAAAGCTACTGGAAAGCTGCAGCCGTACAGGACAAACTGGCAGTAGCCCGTGGTTCGAAGTGGAAAGCTGAGCAGGGGCGGGGCGTCTGGAATCCCTGGGCACCGGGGCGGATGAAAGAGTGGAAAGGGTGGGGAAGCGAGAGGGGGGGGAGGGAGAGAGAGGGAGCGAGAGAGAGAGAGAGAGAGGGGGCTCGCCCTCAGGCCCGGAGAAAGAAAGAAAGAGAGAGAGAGAGAGAGAGAGAGAGCGGCTTTTGCGCAGCTTTTGTCTAGCTGATCTAAGCTCTCGTCTCGAGCCTCCTCTAGCCTTCCTGCAGCTTTGCTGTAGCTTTGTCGTGGCTGTCGACAGCCTCCCTGTAGCTTTGTCTGTAGCTTTCTTGTGGCTGGTCTGTAGCTGTAGCTATTCGGTAGCTTATTTTTGAACCAAGGAAACCAGGCGTCTCCAGGCACATGGCCATCCTAACACTAGGGGCCAGAAGCCCGCTGCACGGCTTCCTGCAGGCGCCAGCCAGTCTGGGCCCTGCCGAAGCTGTCCCCCGGGCCGCGGCCTGGTGAACGCCACTGAGTGCTGCGCTCGGTGGTCAGTTTCTGCAAAGAGGGCGGTGTCGTTTGCTTCTTTTGCTTTTGGTGTGGAAGGTGCCGGGCGTGCCCGCCTGGTTGGAGCACAGCCATGGACGGCGGCGAGCCAGTCCATCAAGGCAGTGTAGTGGCAGTATCAGTGGGTATGACTGGGTGTTTAGCCGTGCTTGTGCTTGGCATGCGAGGCTGCAGCCGGTGTCCGGCCGGACGTGCAAGCAGCGGTGACCGCGGTGCCGGTTCGCCCAGCTGCAAACCCTGCGGCCGTGGAACCTTCAGCGATCCAGGCGAGGGCCACTCCGAGAGGCTTTGCCCGCGCCTTGTTTCGCCTCCAGGCGCCAGCTTCTGCAAGCCGCTGGCAACGCTGGGTGGTGAAGGGAGGCTGCAGTGGAGTACAGAGGCGATCCTGGCTGCCTGGCCGAACTCCTCGCAGACGGCAAGTGGCCTCCGAGGTGTTCAGGTGGAGGAGCCCTCGCTTCCGATCAGAACGGTTGTCTGTTCTGTTCTGTCCGGTTACGTTTCTTGCAGAAGTTTGCTAGCTTGCCGAAGCTCGGACGACTCCCTGACGAGGATCGGACCTACTACGTGAGCCTGCTAGAGCCGAAGCGTTTTCCAGGGATTTCACTGCCGTTTACCAATGCGGCAGCTTTTGTCTGGGAAGTTTTACCACCCAGAATCAGCAACGACGGAGATGCGTGTGAGTCCACTGCCTCGTCTCTCTCGTCTCTGCGACCCTTCGCCGAGACCTTGGAGCAGGTAGTTCCAAACGAGGGAATGCCTGCGGGCCTCTGGCTGAACTTCGCCGGCAGCTGCGAGAAGATGGGAGAGGTGACGAAGCGGGAACTACACATACTGCTCAGTTGTCGTCCAGACGCACGACGTGACAACCTGGACATCAAGCTTCTCAGTGCGATGCGCCCACCGTCTCCAGGCAAGCGACATGACCCACGTGTGTAGGCCTGTCGTCACAGCTCTCTGTAGTACTCAGACAGGGCTGTAGGTGTTTGGATCAGCAAGGATGGGGAACTCTTTCTTTGCAGCAGGTGGCTGTGAGGACCTGGCATTGGAATGGTCAACGCCTGCGGCGTGTCCTCTGTGCCAAGAAGGCTCCCCCTTTAAACTTTCCCTTTGGCCCTAAACCCCACGGCCTGAGCTGCTGTACACCACCTCCTTGACTCCCTGACTTGCAGGTGACTGGGAGATGACCGTGCCAAACAAGTGCGATCCCGTGAAAGGTGGCTGCTAGCATTCAACGACCTCTGATCTCTGATGCCGGCGGTGCTCTGTTGCAAGGCCAGCGTGTCACCCACGTGGCACCCAGCGGCTGCAGAGGCGGCGTCCCGAAACCGCCGGATTCCTGGCGGCCCTGTCCCGGGGTTCCTGTGGCTTGCACTTGGCCGGCGGAGACTGGATGAAGCCTCAATGACACCAACTCTAGCTCTTCAAACTCCCAAAGCAGAGGTGATCAATATCCTCGCATTTGTCATCATCGCTGCGTTGGTTGGGTGCATTCTCTGTTGCCTCAGCTGCTACGTCCTGATCCTCCGTAGGCTGGGACAGTGCTGCTTGCACTGCGGAAATCTGCGGTCACCGCTATCCCATCCCTTGCTGTCCTATCCCTTGCGGTTCGTGCAGGCGCTACGCCCGGTACATGGTCTTGGAGGAGCCCCAGGTGAACGGAGTTGCTCCGTCTAGCATCGGAGTTCCTGACAGCCCCCACCCCGACTTCAAGTGAAAATTGAGCGTGAAGAACCTTTGCATGCCCTTGGCCCGTGCTTTGGAGAACCCAGAACTGTTTATGCAGAGATGTTTCCGAAGCTAAAGGAGATCGTGAACACATGTAGGTGATTGAAGACCCGGAGAAACTGTGAATGCACTTCGTGAACGGAGACGCTGAGAGTTGCACCTGCGCGGATTGCCGAAGTTCTGGATTGTCATCGAAAATGACTGACCGCCAACTATATTCGGCTCTGCTGTAGAGCACTCCAATCTGTTGCCCACCGTCGTCCGGCGCCCAGCTGGTCTGTGTTCCGAGCAGTGTGCAGGCTGATGATTGCTCTTTTGCGAGCTTCACACGTCAGACTGAAATATTTGGAATTCCGTTTGCTGTAATCACAGAACTTGCGCTGCCAGTACAAGGTTTGGGACATTTGAACCAACATCCGCACTCAGCTGATGAAGACCCTGACATGAGTGCCTTCTAGTGCGACTACACGTGCCACGAATAATGTTATCCGATGTGCATGAGCAGGAAAGTGTAGGTTTCTTTGACCGCGAAGCTTCGGATCCGAGCATTTTGAGCATGTCAGGTGTGACCTTTTTTCACTCCATACTGTGGGCCCCTTTGGTTCGGGGAGAGTGGATGCGAAGACATGTGACGCTGAAAGCAGCAGTGGAGCCGCTTTCGAGCCTGGCCTTCGGTGGTTTTGGCCCGGAGCAAAACTCGTCCTCGTGATCGAGCTCGTGTAGCTGTGTATACTTACACAGATGCAGCTACTCTGTGGTGCTCAGGAGATACCGATGTCTAGATAATGTTGCACACGCCTAGCATGCCCAAGTGTTTTGTGCGAAGTTGACATGTCGCCGGTGCTATGCAACATGCAGTGGCGGCCTGCTGCGTCGTTGAATCCGTACGACCCTGGGCCCTTGCCTTCTGGCAATTGGGAATACTTTACTTGCGAGCAGAGACTCAGCTGAAAAGTCAGGTCCGAGCCCGTTTCATGTGGCATTTGCCTGGAAGCTCGCGCAGAAGAGTCAGGTGGAACTGCTCGCCTGATGTGGTGCAGTTCCAAAAGCTACACCGCAAGTCTTCCAGCTGTACTAAAGATTTCACAGTTTGTGCAAATGCAAAGGACCTCGTTCCAGGCTTCTCAAGCAAATACAGCGTGGCAAGACATTCAATCGACACTTAGGTGTCAGTGGTTTCAGAATCGCCTGAACGAAGCTCAGACTGAGACCGAGATGCTGCGCAAAACGCTCTTCAGCTGCATTAGGTTCGATTCGTGTGCCTTGCTGGGTTCGCGATGCAAGCTCAGAGTTTCCTTTCCGAATCTTCGGAGCTGTGCTCTAGCATGCTTCCACGATTTGTTTTAGTTGTCACAAACAATGTCGCATGCAATGCTGTGTAGCACACACTTGTTTGTGCGAAGTGACAACATATTATCTCACTTGATCACCGAATCGGTCAGGGGATTAACTCACCGATTCAATTCGAACGATTGTATATTCCGTGGCCATTTTGGCGAAAAGCTGTTCCAGCTTGAGAAAAATTTTGTTTCACCCACCCGTCGGATCACTCCTCGGTCATAGCCGCTCCGGGCGGCCAGTACCCCGAGTTCTACTACGACCGCTGCTGGCGGCCACTACTTCGAGCACTACGGCTTCTCTGTCAGTTGTTGACAGTTTGAAGGAATCGCTCGAGGAATTCAGCCGCGAGCAAGTTCTCGAAGATTTTCAAATCGAGAAACCCGAGGATGTGACGTGGGGAGCCTGGAACAAACGACAATCCCGACAAATACGGAAGGCCATCGACCAGATCGCCCATTGTCAGACGGCGAACGACATTGTCAATTTGGCGGCGACTTTGTTGAAGCCGCCCAATCTCGAGGCCTTCCTGTACCTGCACATTACCAACCGCGACGAGTCCGCGGAGCCGCTGACGGTGCCCTTCGAGATCGTCGAGGCTTCCCTACACCCTGACTCCGATCATGCACCCCTTCCAGCGGAGACTGATGCTGCTCTCCTTGTACACGAGACAGAGTTGCATAATCAGCATTTGGCAGACATTTTTCGTGATGATTTTGGCATTGAACTTCATAATCCCGAACCCGCTGCCTCTACAGCTCGAAAGAGAAACTTCGAAGGGCGCCTCAAGCCCTCTAACACGACATCCATCGACTTGGATTAGTTACTTCGAAGCCATGGCAGTCCCTCGATCTGACTCTTGGTTCGATTTTCTTTGCGAGGGCTCGACGCAGAATTTCACTGCACCTGTGCCGAGTTCTATGCTCGCTGAGTTCCCCGAAAGAGTCCACGACGAAGCCCGAGTACCTCTGTCCGCGATCAAACGACAGATTTGCCCCCGAATCCTCGATAACAAGAACTGCAACATGCATAACTGTGTGCACCTACACCCCGACTTCCTGAACAAGAAATGGGTGGTGCCTAATCTAATCTGCCATAAATGGTTCCAGGGATGCTGCGAGTACCACAACACATGTTGGAACCAACACGGACATACTTTCGATGATGCCATGCGACGAGCTGTTGTCCTGCAACGACAACTCCGACGCGGTGAGCCTCCGTACCACTACTCATCACGAGGTGCCTTCCTCGAGCAAGTGACTCGAGAACAGGCAAAGGAGTGGATCATGGACACGATGGCTACCTTTCGCCACACCGAGATGCGCAAATTCAACTTCGGCACCAACTTCTCCAAGTACTACGACTTCGAAGCATGGGACAAATCCGACGCTGCGGCCAGACTCCGACAAGATATGGCAGAGGGCAATCATAGAGGACGATCTCCCCGACGAGCACGCGATGACTCTCGACCCCCAGCGACATGGGGACAGCCTCCGACCCCACCGCGAGGGAATATTTTCCCCTCCTCGGGATCGCGATTCCCTCCGGCAGCTACACCGTCGACTGCTCCTACGAACCCAACACCATCGGCGGCACCTTCGACAGCACCTCCGAGCACCGCGCCGAGACGACCATTCTTCCAGCTGGGCACGGACACAGACTCCGATGCCCCTAGCTTCGGTCGATCTACCCGAGCTGCCTTCCGCCCCGGCGATGGAGCAGCTCGCGGTTCAAATCGACCATTGTCACCGCCGAGATTCCCTCGACGATCGCAATCACCGGCTAAACGATGGCTCGACAACACGCCGGTAATCGTCGAGGTCCCGGATGAGATCGCAGCCTCTACCCCGGCTCCGACTCCGACGGCAACACCTAATACTACCACACAACAGACTCGACCGGCGTCTCCGGATCCTTGGCATCCGGACGACGATACCACGGAACCACCGACTCCCCCGATGGCAGCTCCGGCTACACCTCCGACCACGACTCCGATGAGTACCCAGGTAACACAGCCGACGGACCAAGCCACAACTACTACGACCAACAACCCGAGTGACTCCGAGTGGATCAACCCAGCCTTCGGCACACCGACTACCACGACCATTGTGGGGGCACAGACGAAGGCTATGCCCAAAGTGGTTCCTCCGAGGTTTACGGTCCGCCCAGCTGTGGACCTGTCACGACCAGACCCTAGACAGGTCCTGACACCGAACACGACCCAGGCTGGAGCTGCCTCCTCCTCGACGGTCGCGACATCAATGCAGAGTCCATACACGGGTGTACCGACCGCGATTCAGCCACAGCCACCTCGACAGTCCTGCCTCGAGAGATTCCGAGTACAGTGGCTCGACACACAGGTGGTTGACAAGGGCAGGACGTCGATCGACGATGTCCGATCCAATCCATCGGTATCACACGAACCTGTGTTCGGATTCCAGACTTTGAGACACTTCGACAACTTCCCGATGATGTCCCCGAACTTACAGGCGATGACACCGGTGGGCGGACACAATGTCGCGATGCTTCCTCCAGGCAACCACCCGTACTCGTCCTTTGCCTTCGATTCCCCATGGGAAATCACATATGACGGCGTCATTTACCTCGAACAGGTTCTCCGATGCCCGACCTTCGGGAGCTATCTGACACAGTTTGGGCTGTACATCGACCTCCCGATTCATACCCCACAGGACGACACTCTCCAGGAGAAGGTCTTGCTCCTGGGTGTCCCGAACAACTTCGTCGACCCCCGGACTACACTGATCTACTCGATGGTCTGGCATAGCATGACGGCGTCCCTCTCGGACTTGAGTCATACATCGGTGGAGTACCGCATGCACCGACTTCGAATGTGGTGCCACACAGCCCACAACCTCAACCTGTTTGCGGCACAGATGCCGAACTTCGAGCCGATGACGACCTTCTTTCGCGAACAAGCATCTGCGATCATCTCGTGTACTTCGAACATGCTAGCTCCGGCGATGCGGAGTGCTTTCGCCCAACGCGAGAGAATGCGACCCATCATCGCCGCAGAGCCACCAGCCTTCATCCTACGATTTCGAGAAGGCTCTCGATCTTTCAACTAGACGCTCCCGAAGCCCACCGGTCTCACATGGTTACCCCGTTTCCGCCTCGGCGACGCACGGGAGTGTCCGGTGTCACCTCGATTTCGGGCTCTAGGGGGGAATTCCGCCTCGGCGACGTGTCCCACTCTACCCGATAGTCTACCTCGACTCTCGCTATGCCCACACGAGAACAAGAAGTGAAGCCCATTGCCCAGTACAACCACTTGTGTGTACCACAGGCTCTACTAGTTGTAGTGGGGCCTGCTCTCTCCTTGGAGATTGCTTGGCTTCCGTAGACTTCGACCTCTCAAGCCCTGTTTGTACTCCCGAACCTCCCGACCCACCCGACGCGATGGCCAGCCACCGTCAGACCTCGATGGACATTGATCCGATTGAACAGTTTCCCGAGGTTCCCACGACTGCACCCGATCCAATCGAGCAGTTCTCCCAAGCACCCGCGAGTAGCTCCGGGGCAGTTCTGCCGGCCGCGCGATACTTGGAGGGTGTTGACCCAGACACCGATGCGGGCCGTGCTCTCAAAATGCAACGAAGACTATACGACGATCAACACACCCAGGGAGCCCTC